GCAAAAATATCACCAGCTTTTTGCAAAGCTTGTCCTCAACATAATCTCCAAAATAGAAAGCCTTGTGCACCACTCTATTGATATTAATAGGTCACTCCCATTTTCTTACACATCCATCTCTTTATATTCTGGTTTATTCTGTGAAGTTGGTAATTCTTGAAATATTGATATATATTCAAAATGGTAAAAGACAAAATTCAGATCAAGAAAATTGATAACGCAACAGCAAGGCAAGTCACTTTTTCAAAGAGAAGAAGAGGGCTTTTCAAGAAAGCTGAAGAACTTTCAGTTTTATGTGATGCTGATGTTGCTCTCATCATTTTCTCTTCTACTGGAAAACTCTTTGACTATTCTAGCTCCAGGTATGTGTGTGTGTATGTGTTTTTTTTGTGTGTGTGTGTGTTTACAAAGCTAGCTATTGCTTTACATATATATTGTGAATAGAGTATACTCAAACAAGTTTAGTTTGTAAATAAATTTATGTTCTCTAGCTAGTTTCTCATTCTGAATACTTTTTTTTTAGCTTATCTCATACTGATTAAGCTCAAAATGAAATCGAAAATTTTTCTTTGTGTTTTTGCCTTGAAAGTTCCTTGGTGTGATGCATACACTAGTCTTCCTTAGTGATTGTTTCAGTACCACCAAAATATGTGGTGCAGTTGATAAGGCTGCTCTTTCCTTGGCCAGAGGTCTCGGGTTCGAGCTCTGGGTATGTAAAAATCCTTGGTAAGGAACACTTTCTCCTGAAAGAAGCCCTATGCGAAGCAAAATCGGATATAGTCGAGCTCCAATGCGGGTACCGGACACCGGATGGGAAACCAAAAAAAGTGATTGTTTCAGTGTGGTTCAATATAGTGCATTTTGTAGCTAAATTGGTTGATATATTCCCGGCGAATCCTTTAGTAATTGATGCTTACGCCACTAATTGTGGTTTGTTTGAGGGATAAGGATATATATATATTTATTGTTTTGATATAAAATTTGGTATAACTTGAGCAGAGATTTGATTTTCGGTATAAAACTTTGTATTACTAATATAATCTGTATATAGCTAAATACGAGGTTTAGTTTTTGGTATTAAATTTTGCAAGTTATGCAAAATTTAATATTGAAAACTAAATGCCGTATTACTAATATTGGTATAAGTTATACGAGAATGTGTATATTATTTTTTACGGAACAAATATTAGTAATATGTGGACATGAGTTTCCAAAGCAAAGATACTCCTAAAGGCAATACGGAAATAATGATCTCTGCTTATTAATCACCGTATAAAATTTAAACATAATAATTACTCACGGCATAAAAGTTCTTATGAATAATCTTTATATTATTTAAAAGATGATAGTGGTAACCTATGATGATCGGACTCTCTAAAAGTGTAGCCGCACTCGTGTCGGATCCTCCAAATATGGACTAAATTTGGAGAATCCGACATACACCCAACAACATTTTTGAAGAGTTCGGGCAACATGGGTGGTAACCACTTATGAAGGAAGTAATTGAGTATATGAACCTAGATATCTAATTGACGATAGTTTCTAAATAAAATTAATTTGATATAAGTTTTCTTAAAATAAAATGACCAAAATATATTTTACCCGGTATTATGCTTAAGAACTGATGATGTAGATAAAATACTAATGCTATGATGTTCAGCATATTACGGCAGCACTTGTTAATCCTATAGGAAAAAGAAACTCACACTGCAGTCAATTCCTTTGGAATATTGTAAAATCTATCAAAATTATTCTAACTTGGCTATCCTGCCTGAAACAAAAAAACTAAACTTGCTTAATTCTTAATTGAAATCGTGTTATAATTAGAAAAATCAAAATTAACTTTGTATATAGATAAGCTGAGAATAAAATTATCATTTTTATAATAAATTAGTAAATAAATTATCCTCCAACCATAACACGCTATTCTAATAACAACTGATAACACATGTACGAGCTACTTTATGCTATTGCAATTCCTCAATTTTTATTTCTGTTACATAAATCTATTAGTACAAAAAATCAACAACAATAGTAACTAGCTATTCTTTAGTATAGTCCTCTCACATTATGCGAACAATTAATCTCTTCATTCAAGCATGCATTTCTCGATGAGCACACTGAGAAAACGAAGCAACATTATTAATTTCAATGAGTTGTTGATCGGCACCATAATTAACTATATCATATGTTCATACTCTGTAGATATTCCATCACTGTTTTGATGTTTCCACAATAAATTAAGCAATACAACACAAGCAATTATAATTCTGATTTACATGTTCACATCATAATTGTTCATGCTTTGTAGTAGTATTCGGAATCTACTTTTTATGCTTCAAAAGTTCTTTCAATCATGTTGCTACAGAAAAGTGCCTATAATTAAGTAGTTCATTACCGTTTTGGAGTTTCTTCCACTCCTTTTGTAGTCATTCAAATGATATTGCAGTTCTTTGTATGGAGCTAAAAATCCTTTCGTGTTTCAAAGAACAACGTCAACAACAAAATATTTATCAGCAAAATGAATAACTGTAAAATTCATCAGACTAGCTGATAACATTAAAAATCTAATGTATTTGAATTTATAGAAAATTTATCAAATACAATAAGTTTTTTGCAAGGATAAAACACTAGGAGTTTAAAGGAGGTGGCTGGGTAACCTCAATGTGAACCCAAGGTCATACAAATTAATCATGAACAATTTTAGATTTTACCTTAAAGTAAGGCCAAAAGCGGCTATTGTTTCAAATCTTTGGATGTATGTCGATTATATCGATCTTTTGGACATATAACTGTTGACGTCGTCTGATTAATTGCCTTAGCGAAAGGTCTGACGTGCCGGTTAATTGTCTCGAGCGAATGTTGAAAGCATTCAAACATTCATTTGTTGATGGCTGACTATCATTACGTGTAACAATTTAAAAAAATAGTCACAAACTCTTCAATTAGAACACGTGTGTTCGATACTCAATTTGGATATGGTATTCCAATTGAAGAGTTTGTGGTTATTTTTCTAATTGTTGTTATACGTAATGATAGTCAGCCATCGGCAAGTGAATATGCCTCTTTCTTGGCTTTAACTTTTTCTTGGATCTCCAGCTAATTCTCTAATGTAGCTCGTTGTCGTAGTCCACACATTACTCGCGTCCCCACTACTCCTTCACGCCCCCATAGCCAACAACTTCTTCCCCAACTCCTGAGCTTTTTCCTTAGTCAAGGCTTCCCCTCTTGGGAAAAGCTAATATGTTTCAAAAGTGTAATTTCGGCTTCCTCCATTTGAGTAAGTAGTATCACAATCTCCTTCCTCTAGCTTTCCTTTATCATGTTCTATAATGGTGCTTGTCAAGGAAAAATTCAAGTTCTACGTTGTGTTTGAAGGCAAAAGTCTTGCTATATATGATTCTTGGATGAATGTTCAATGCATGTAACTAGATTTTAGGGAAATGTATATAAACTTTTTTTCATTGAACATTCATACCAAGAAGTGTATATACAGAGGCAGATCTAGTGTGAGAGTTACGGGTTCAATTGAACCCATAACTTTCGACGCGGAGTAAAAATTTATGTGTAAAAATTTATTAAAATTACAAAAATAATAGATTTGAACCCATAACTTTCGACGCGGAGTAAAAATTTATGTGTAAAAATTTATTAAAATTACAAAAATAATAGATTTGAACCCATAACTTTCGACGCGGAGTAAAAATTTATGTGTAAAAATTTATTAAAATTACAAAAATAATAGATTTGAACCCATAACTTTAAATATATAATGGGTTCAATGTTAAAAATATTAAAAATTAAACTCATAGAATTTAAATCCTGGATCCGTCTCTGTGTATATACCATGTCTTCTGCTCTTAAATACAACATAGAACTAAGGATTTTTCCTTACCAAATGAAAATGATTACTAGAGGAAGAAGATAGTGATACTACTTAGTCAAATGGAGGAAGCCGATGTCGCAAATATATTAGCTTTTCTCAAGAGGTGTAAAATAGTGGAATAGACTTAAAGGAGGAGGAAAAGACTACACCCTTTTTGGACGCGTCAATTATTATAGTCTTTTTAACTAATGTGACTGAAAAGAGTTGAACCTTGGATACTATTCTCATTCGCGCCAAATGATTCTCACGCGGACCACAAAAGGGCCTTCAAGCTAAGTTGCGCGGACTCTCCATAATATTGCTACACCCGTGTCGGATCCTCCAAAAATAACTACTTTTGGAGGATCTAACACACACCTGACGATATTTTCGGAGCGTCCGAGCAACATATATAGCCTTCAAGGGTACAATGGGGGCAAAAGCTTTCATTCATGACATTACATGGTTTGAATTATACCGTGCAAATAGTATACATAAGGGAGGCTTCTAGTGTAGTTCCATAGGTCACTCGTAGAATTACTTCAGATCGCAAGTTAAAAATTCAAGTGTGGCAATTTTGTAGTTTTTTGAACCCTTTTGCCAGAAATATTTTCTCAATCACTACTTTCGAGTCACTGAAAGAAATTTTATCAATTCTTGACCGTTTCAAGAGGATACAACAACAATAACTAAACCTGGAAGTCCTAATAAGTTGGAGTCGGCTATATGAATCTTCATTGATCATGTGTCTCCACTTAGATAATCTCGAGAGGATGTGATATTAAAATTTATTTTGTTCTGTGAAGCATGAAAGAAATTCTTGAAAGGCATAATTTGCTCTCGAAGAATCTGCAGAAATTGGAGCAGCCTTCTCTTGAGCTGCAGGTAAATTTCTTGATCCATTGTACTTTTAGAGTTTGTGTTTGCATTTGTAGTTATTTCAACTTTGTACTTACTTTCATTCTAAAAATGGAAAGTACTCTTTGCAGCTGGTAGAGAACAGCGATTACGCTAGATTAACCAAGGAAATTTCTCAGAAAAGCCATCAACTGAGGTATAGATAGTTCTATCAATAATTATTTTGGTTAAAAATGCAAAATGAGATTTAACATGAAATGGAAACAGGCAAATGAGGGGAGAAGAGCTTCAAGGATTAAGTGTTGAGCAGTTGCAACAATTGGAGAGGTCTCTTGAAGCTGGATTGAGCCGCGTCATTGAGAACAAGGTTAGTCATTGTTTTATATGCGTGGGACAGAGGGGTCGTAGCCCGGGGCAGAAATGCAGGCAGGATAAGGCTGCTTACGATAGATCCTCGTGGTCCAGCCCTTTTCCGAACCCCGCGCATAGCGGGAGCTTAGTGCACAGGGCTGACCTTCTTCTTTTTTTTTATGTACACGGTCATGGATTGCTAGAGCTAATGATCTTCATAAAACTTAATTGCTTTGTTTATTTTCTCGGGGTGACAAAATAATGAAAGAGATCAACCAGCTTCAAGTAAAGGTCAGTAACCAAATTGCTTGTGCATTTGTGTTAGCTTAATACTTTTTCTTTCTGGTCTATAATGTTGTTTCACTAAACGCAAAATTTAAAAAAATGTTACTTTGACTTGCTTGTTACATCAGCTAAAGTGAAAAATTAAATAAAATGATGGTTGAAAAGTAGATTTGATAGATATAAATTATAAAGAATATCATATATGCCAAAGCTTAAAATTTGAGTAGTTAATGAATTTACATTCTACAAAATTGGCTATCATATTTTCACTTTCATAATATTCCACAAGGCTGAAGATATTGTATAATCTACAGGGCATGCAACTAATGGAGGAGAATGAAAGATTGAAACAGCAGGTAAGAACACAACTGGAAAGTCTCTTTATTAACTGGTGGCAAGGTTTGCGCGCAGCTAGCAGCTCGGTGCACTAAGCTCCCGTTACGTGCAGGGTCCGGCGAAGACCGGACCGCATTGAGTCATGTATACGCGCAGCCTTACCTGGAACATTTGCAAGAGGCTATTTCTGCCGTTTGAACCCGTGACCTTCTGGTCACACTAACACCAACTTTTATTATTGCATCAATGCTTCCTTTCATACTTACTGATAGTAACTACTGCGAAATCTTTGTGAAGGTGATGGAAATATCGAACAACAGCAGCAAACATCCAGCAATTGTAGTAGCAGTTGGATCAGAAAACATATATTACGAGGAACGTCAATCCTCTGAGTCCGTCAATAATGCATGTAACTCTACTAGTCCCCCACCTCTAGAGGACCACAGCTCCGATACTTCTCTAAAGCTCGGGTTAGTTGTCCCCCCCCNTCATTTTAACTGAGTTTTCTATAAATATTTATCATAGAGATTTACATATAAATTATCATGCGGATGACTTGTTTTGTCTTAATTTTCTTTTGCTATGGCAGGTTGCCTTACCCAGGTTGAAGGGAAAGGCAAAGTTAGCTAACAGTTAAAAGCAAAGATCAACATCTTCTGTGTGCAATGTGGCTAACTACTGAAATGTGGAATGTAAAAGCTAACTCAAGAAATGTGTATGTGTGACTACCAACTATTGACAACAGTTGGAAATTGAAATTATGTCATTGTAATATCACTTTTTCTTTGTGAATGTATATATCTTCGTCTCTCAAATTTTTTAAGTAGGGGTAAGGTTTGTATACATATTACTAGGGGTGTTCACAAAAACCCAAAAAATCGAATCAAATCGAAAACCGAACTAAACTGACTAAAAATATCGATACTTTTGTGGTTTGATTTGGTTTGGTTTTGAATTTTAAAAACTGACCATATTTGATTTGATTTTAGTTTTAATGAAAAAATAACCGAAAAAATCGAACCAAATCGAATATAGAAGTAGCTATTTAAAATTTATCATTATACCTATGTATATGTATATTTTTATACAAAGTTTTTAAAATTTTATGTTACATTTTAATAGTTTGTACTTTTTTAATCTAGTTGTTTGCCTTTACATTCTAATTTTATTAGTAGTTTTCTTTTGCTAAGTATAAGAATTTATTTTATGTTAAAAATAATTTATTTTTAATTGAGTCCTAAAATTATTCATCACTATTTGGTTCAATTATCATCAATATATCTTGGTAAATGATAGATTTCTTAAAGAGCAATTGGTTTGATAGTGTTATGTTAAAATATAGTCGCCGGAATATGTGTTTGGTAGTGTATATCTCATATTTAAGAAAAAACTGACAAAAACAGAATCGATAAAAAACTGAATTAATTGGTTTAATTTGGTTCCAATATTTGATAACCAACTCACTTGGTTTGGTTTCTTTTTAGGGAAAAACCGATTCAAACCGAACCATGAACACCTCTACATATTACCCTTAGCCCAGACTCCACTTGTGGGATTACGTTAGGTTTGTTGTTATTGTGGTTGTTTAATTTTACTTTATTGCTTTGAGAATTACTAACCTTCTCTGATCATTTATACCAACTTTAGTAAATCCTTTGTTTAGCTCTAATGGAAACTCAGCAATCTGTAAGTGATTTTTCATTAAGCCACTAGGTTTTCAGAAGAGAAATGCAAAATCATTCTATTGTTTAAATCAATAAAAGAAACATGAAAATAGTTGCAAAAATACAATCCCTAACAGCTGCATTTTGATCAAGTCTACTCCTTTTTCGATTTGGAGAGAGCTTTCTTTCTCTGTCCGAGCATGTAACCATACATGTGAGGACTGCCTGCAATTCAGAATATCCTCTAATGAATTCATAGCTTTTAGCAAACTAATCAAAATCTAAAACAGAAAGGAATACTGCAAAAAGTTAAAGAAATGAGCGTGCATTTGAGGCCTAGGAGGAGATATTTTAGTGAAAGGATACTTGCCTGGGACATAGATACCGAGGGCAACAAGTCCTGCATAGTAGTAATCAAAAGAGAAGTTCCATTTGTTCGGCATCCTAAGAGAATACTTCTCAGATCCCTGGAAAAATATAGCTCGATTAGAAAAGACCACGCATATAAACAGAACAATCAGAAGCTGAGGCAAGGAGCAGAATTCCAATTACAAGAGCCCAATAAACTAGGTATATATAGGTGCAGAAATTTATGCGCGAGTGTCTCTGAGAGGCTAAGATAAAAACTATAAAGCAAATCAGTTTTTATTTCAGCACAGGAGCAGGAGGGGTGCAGAATTTCCAACTTCTTTTGTGAAAAAAATAAAATAACAAACTCTTCAAAATCTAATGATGCTTTCAGTATATGACTTCTTATTTACTGTAACTTGTATGAGTCGAAAGGGAGACACATTGTCTCAGTACCTTGATGTAAGGCAGGGCGCTGTATATTAAACCAACTTCACTTGTGATGCCAGTAGGATACAGCAACATGAAGGTACTATACCTGCACGAAAAAAATCAATACTTGAAGTTGGACTTTGAGGCGCAAATAAGACTAAAAAAGAACCTGCTTGAGAAGGTATTTGCCACTACTAGAGAAGACAAACTAGGTGCGAATCTGATGGGTCCTCCATTCATATAATGGTCTCTATATTAGTCCTATATGTGAAGCACTTGTCAAACCACTTTAATTGCTTTTTTCCTTTCTTTCCTATTTCCTGTAACTTATTTCACAGTTTGTATGTCATCACTGGCCACCTCTCTTCCAAAGGGAATCTTTGTTTGGATACTTAACCATGACTAATAGAAAAAAAGGCTATCAAAATGGATTTGTGTTTAGGAAAAAAAAAATTGCTCTAACCAAATGAAAGCAATAAGAATATGACTGGTCACTGTGTTGTGTCATTATTTGAAAAGATACATAGGTGGTTCATTTTAAATGGATCAAATAAGGTGGTTTGTTATCACGCAAACTCATCTACCATGCTCTCAAAATTAGAGTCATACCTTAGCCACAAGAGCCAGGAAGGTGCAGAACCAAATGCTTCTTTTGTCCCAAAAAATGAATAGCGGATGATCTGAAGTTTGAGCAGAAAGATTAAACTAATTATCAACATGTTACATTGTTACTTAACCATGAACTGATAACAATTATCAACATCTTTTGTAAATGAGTACAAGTGTACAACAAGCACTGGTTAATAATAGATATGACCCTTGATCACAGCGAGAAGTTAGTGAATGGAAAGAGAGGGAGCAGAACAATGATACAAGCACTTAATTACACCATCGTGCCATGACATAAAAATCAGTCTAATATGCTCTCACAAAATTATTGAGGCAATGACGGAGCAAGGATGATTGGGATGGCTAAATCCTACTTATCCCCCACCCTCCCTTCCCCACCAACCTTGCATTTGTGATGATTGATACAATACCCTCAATTGGGCACATTTAAGCGAAGGTCTTTCAGGAACCAATTTGGCCTCAGGTTTTAAGATATATTTCACTAGGTTCTGCAGCATATATTGAAGATAGCAGGCTAATATCCTTTTGCTGTGTTGATTGGGACATAAAACCCAAGTTAAACAAGAGCAGAAAGAGTAACCTCAAGGGTAATTTCAGCACTAATTGTCCATGCTACATTTTAATGATGTTCTAGACTTCTAGTACATCAAAAAGCATAATTCATGAATGTTAGACTTGGATATGACAAGCAGAAAGAATCAAGCCATGGACTATGATTGAGGGTATTGTATCAATCTTACAATCACGAACGATCAAATCTTCCTAGAAAAAAAATGCATACGAGGTCAGATGTTAAAGAATCTATATTTTCTCATTTGTCTAGCCAAAAAAGCTCGCTGCTCTTACTGTTACTTCCAAAGCACAGAAGGACATGCATCATAATCATTTGAGTGCCAATTTATTGAGAAATCAAAACTTGATGTAAAACTATAAAAGACTAGAAAAGAATGAGAAAAAAATAGTAATGTCAATGGTTTATTTGAAAAAAGGTGTTGTTCAGCGATGCATACTGTGACATTTTTACAAAAAAAGAATAAACAAAATCAAGGCGCAGTTAAGAATTTATTCTCCACCTAAAGTCAGAGGCATCTTCAATCTAGTTTCAATTGTGAAATTATAATAAGATGGATTCCCTGCAACGAGTGGTGGAAAACAATTTCTCTACACCTTCAATTACGGGGTACCACCATAAGCCTCGGGTTTTTACTTTCAATTGTTCAATGTTCTCTTTTCTTCACTCTTCAACTTATAGTAAACAAAATAAAGAAAGAGCATACCTGGTAAGAGAACTGATCTTTTTCTATTTGATTAATAAAGTGATGATGCTCCGACTATTGCAGTTATTCTCGGGAGACTTGAAAACTCAAGTTACTATAAATAAACATCTTAACATAAAAAAGTTTAAAGCTTATGAATAAGCAAGGCTCACCTCTGTTATAGACCAGCTAATCACTAGAGAACTGACAAGTATATGAGACCGGAGCTGCATCGACAAACCAATTCATTAGTAAAAAATATTTTTACATTGCCATGTAGAAATTAGAGGAAAATAATCAAGCTAACCTCAGGGAAACTCCATAAAATACCCCAGGTTACATATAATCTTGAACTTATCTGTGGAAGAGTAGCTGATACTGGAGATCTTACCAGACCTAGTTAAGGTTGAAGAAAAATGAAAAGGTTATTTAAGTGCAAAATCTTCTCGCGGGCTTATTTAGGCTTGTGATCAAGTAAACTTACCCACTAAACCATGAAGAATCTGTTCCGCAGTTCATGCGAAAAAGAACTTAACAAGTTAGCATCCCAGTCCATTGCATTTAATGATAATAATACCATACAAAAAATACCTTATCAAAAAAAAAAAAAAAAAAAAAAAAAATACCATACAAAAAATAATATCACTTTTTCTCAGCAACAATTAGTTACCTCAAAACTGGTTAAGAAAATCCATAAGCATATAATAAGAGAATGGGGGACGGCACAAACAATCAACTACATGTCGGTATCAGCTAACGGAGCTTAACTACATGTGAGTTGCAAGAAGGATATCCAAGAGAGTGAGCTATTATCATTATCAAGTTCCGAACTACCTCTTGTTCATTCATTAGATTTAAGTAACTATTATTAACGATTAGAAAGAAAAAGCATTGTCATTAGACACAGATCTTACGAAAGTAGGTATCATCTTTTAGAGTTTATTTTTCCACCAAGCTTCATTAGTGCATTATTTTCACATTTTACAAAAGAAAAAGTTCGGAAATTTGAAAAACGAAAAATTTGCAATAACATAAAAATTATCTTTTGGGAATTCCCCAAAAAAAGCTTTTAGTAACACTACACTTAACTGACTATTCTGGCCAAATACTAACTCACTCTAACATCTTTCAGCTACATCCCTTTACAATTGCCAAATTTGACACAACATCTTTGAATGAAAGCAGATCTGATTGGTGTAATTTCCTAAAATAGATATCTCTCATACCCATTAAAGATTCAGACTTTTAGGAAAACAAAATCATGAATATGAGTGAGGAGAATTTAATGTATCATCAACCACATTTATCAACTATCATATATCATACCCAATATTTATACAGAGAATAAATAGCATTCAACCCCCTCCCCCACCCCAACCCCACAAAAAAAACCCCAGTTATTATATACATTATTATAAAATTATGAGTTTAAGTTATGTGCATTGATAGCATAAAAATTATTTATATAATCATGTCACTTGTTACATAATTAG